TGTGGGTTGCCCTTTGACTTACTAATGGGCCCCGCCCCTCCCCTACCTGAGCCCTCTCCTCCCTTGGCTCCCCCCTCCCCCCTCCCCCAGGGAAAAAAGCAGCTCTGGAAACTCCTTCCAGGTAAGGCACCCACTTTGGAGCTGGGCATGGAGAAGAGGGCATTTTTCAAGGATCTCTCTGGCCTTTTTTTTTCCCCTTCGAAATAGAAGGATGTGCAATTTTTTTGGTTTCAATTTAGCATTGGAGAATTTTATAATTTAGTAATTAAAATCTCTGATAGGCTTTAGAAATTGCGGCTAATTGAATTTAATGGGAAGATGATTTTCAATTTTATTTGATTACCGGGACCCCTGGCATCGGTATTTATGGGAAAAAAATGGGAAATGTGCTGTGTGGGCTAAGATGGCATAATTGAATTAGGGATAATCGGATTTCTCCGTCATGAATTTCACTATAATTTTCCTATAATTTTCCATTAGATATCTAGTTTACAAATATTCACAAAGAAATGAAGCTCTTTCGGAATGGAGATTGCTGGCTAACAGGATTAGGGGGCCGGGCGTGCGGCTGTGCCAGCCCTATATGGCCGTAATGCACTCCCGCCTTGCCGACACTTAGCGTGGCCTCAGCACCTTGTTTCACCATCCGCTTTGCCAACACCCCCTGCTCCCCCGCTTTATTTCCCCCTCGCTCCCATTTGTCCCTTGGCCCAACACCCACCCGTGTGGTGCCCTCTCACGCCCCGCGGACCTACTGTCCTGCCCCGCCTGCCTACCCCATGGTGTCTCCCAACCCTGCCTCTACCTCCCCACCTGCGGCTCTGGTTCCCCCCGCCCCAGGCACCCTCCCTCCATCACACGCAAACACACAGCCGTCCTCACAGGTGCGAACACGCTTGTTCACATGCACACACGGCCCTTTGGCCAAGGCTCCTGTGCCCTGGCCCAGTCGCCTCCGAGGGAACCAGTTTATTGGGATCTCGGGGTGGGGTGCAGGAACAAAAGGAGCTTTGTTCCAGTTTATGTGAAAGTTACAAATTCAAAATGAGAGCAGATACAGCCTGAGATACAGCCTGCTGAGTGAGAAGGCCCGGAGCGGAGGGAGACGAGATGAGTGGGCAAACTGGGAGCGGGAGGGGCCCAGGAGCCAGAGAGGGAGGTTGGCCTCGGAGGGCCGGGTTGGCCCTGGTGCTGGGATAGGGCGCCAGGGGGGCGGAACGGCTTTTAAGGGTCCAATCTTCCTCTCTTTTTGGGTGAGAGGAGCCTGCGGCTCTGGGCCCAGGCCTGGAGACTGGTATCAGTTGTGACAATGGGCTTTCCAGCCCCAGAGCTTCAGGTGCCTATGTCCTCCCTGTGGCCTGAGCCTCGGGGTCAAAGAGGGGTCATCAGGGCAGTGGGAGAAGCATTTGACTGGATTAGCTTGCTGTCACCACTTCTAGGACTGTCAAAGCAAAAATGAGCCAGGGCCTCAAAAGGTGTCCACGCCTCTCCCCTCCATGCAAGCACACCCACACCCCCGAGCCAGCGGGAGGAATCTGGGGACCCCTCGCTTATGTGACCTCTGACTCACACTCCCCCCACCATGCCACAGCCTCCTTCTCAAAGTTGGCCTCCTCTCTGCCTTCTCCGACCCGGTCTCCATGGGAGGCCCCTTGCTCTCTGGCCAGTCCTGCTAAGTCTCCTGTGTTGACTTGGCAGAGCTGCCCCCAAGCTGGCCGCCTTCCTCTCCAATCTTTGGCCACCAGGGGCCCCCGAGCTAAGGGGACGCTAATCCTGTTGGCCCGGCCTAGGTAGTTGGAAAAGAAAACTCTTCCCTTTTCCTTCCTCAGGTGTAAGGCCCTGGACCCACCCACCACAGAAGCTCCTATGTGCAGGTTATGTATTCAGGGAGCTCCCACACATGCAACTTTCTTTGAACCCACCCAGGAATCACCCCTTTCTCCCTGCCCTCCTCAGGAGCCTCTGGGGGGCTCAGCAGGTTACATGGTGGACTAGTAGCAACAAGGTCAGCAGTTTGAAACCACCAGCCACTCCTTGGGAGAAAGATGAGGCTTTCTACTCCCATAAAGAGTTATGGTCTTGGGAACTCACAAGGGCACTTGAGCCCTGCCCTGTAAGAGTCGCTGTGAGTTGGAATTCTCTCTCTCTCTCTCTCTGTTTGACAATGAGTTTGTTTGTTTGTTTGTTTGGTTGGTTGGTTGGTTGGTTTTTTCTCCCCTGGCTTCCCAGGCTTCTGTCTATACACCAGATGCGCACATGAAGCAGGGGCTCACTCGAGATTGGGTACTGGTCGTTGGAATTGCCTGTGGTTTAGACCCACAGCTGCAAGGGAGTGGAGCCCTTGCTTTGGGTGGTCAGGGCCTAAAGGTGCGTGTGTCGCCCAGAGAAGCCGTGGTCGGTCGCAGGCAAATTCTGTGATCTCATCTGGGGCGCCACGAGTACCAGGTCCTCTTGGGTTGGTGGCCCAACGCTAGTGGTTGAGTTTTCAAGCCAAGGTGTGGGGGAGCACATCTTTTGGCTGTCTAAAGCGTTCTCGTTCCCCACTTGGGGTTTTTCAGGCCAGGGGGGCTCAGCAAAGCGTCTCAGTCCGTCTGGCTGCTGTTCCTACTGAGGGTTGAGGCAGGCCTGACTAGCAGTATGGCAACCAGGAAACAAATGGCTGAATGGAGGAAGATGCTAAATTCCCCAGTAAGGCCATTTGGAACCAACGATCGATCAAAAAAAGGACATATGAAAATAGGGTAAAGTAGGAGAAAGAGTAGATTGTTAACTCTCTGCCAGCTTTGCCCCAAGGCCTCCCTGGGCCCCTCCCTTTTCAAAATGGAAATATTGCAAAACTAGGCCAGCACCATTTTGCCAAATGCTGCCCAAAGGCCAGAGAGCACCTGGGCCCTAGCTTCTTCTGAAATAGGGAGAGGGAGCAGAGGGGATCTTAAACACACAGAGGGGTGGGGTGGGGGTGTTAATTGTGAACAAACTGTCCGAATCCCTGTTCACCTATCTCCCTCCCATTTTCCTTGAGGCCCCCCACCCCCACCCCAGGAAAGCTTGGGTCACAAAATGCCAGGTCTCTCAGCGTACAAGGCCACAGCAGGAACTCCTGGAAGTGTGTGGGGCCCAGGCAACAAAATCTACCAAACGGGTTTCTCACAAAGTGCTCAGTCTGATGACGAACTGGGAGAGACAGGAAGTCCCATGTCCCACGCCCTGAGCCCCAGGAAAAGTGGGCGCTAACATGTTTGATTGAGGGGTGCCTGTGCTCTGCCCAGACCCTTGAGACCCTTCTGAGGCCCAGGCAAAAGCAGAGGCTGAAGGGTGGAGGGCAGAAGGAAGCCTGGATGATGCCACTGTTCTGGGCTGAGAGTGCCCCCAGGAAAGGCTACTACACAGGGAGGAGGGGCAGCAAACTCCCTTCCCACCCAGGGACCTGGCCAACCTGGCCCGGACCTGATCCTGGAGGCAGGTGCTGGAGGGGGACAGGCCAGGAGATGGGGGCAGAACTAGGGAAGGAGTGTGGGTCCGTACCCCCTCCTGGGTGGGGGTGGGGGGGCAGAGGTCCCAGGCCGGCCAGTGCACAGGGCGCCCACGAGGGCGAGCCCACAGGGCGCTAGCATCCATTTAAGGCAAAGCCCATCTCAGGCGTCGGCCGCGTCCGCGCCCCCTCGGGCCGGAGTGCGGGGGAGCGAGCTCTGGAGCGTGTTTACCGACACACCCAGACGCGCCGCCCGGGCGGCTTTTCTTCCCCGAACTCACCCAGAACACTAAACCCCGAGGAAACTGAGCACGGGGGAACCTGAACCCCTTCGAAGCCCATTCGCCGCCAGCTTCTGTAGACTGGCCGACGGG